CGCCTAAGGTGGCCCATTTATGCACGACTTTCAAATTTTTTTTTTTAGTAAAGCACTATTTGGGATGCCTCCAAGTCGTCATTTGGTACATCCGCAAATGCTGCATCGATAATACATGTGCAAAAACCTCTCTTCTACCCAAGTGGTTTCTCTTCGGCAACTCTTACAATTTGCTTCTCAATGAAAAATTTCGAAAACAGAGCTATTCGAAGCAGTATTTGAAAGTAGTTTAGGGAGTTACATATTCAACGTTAGGAGTTGAAGGTTTTTTAGAATATCTTTGAAGTCTTAAGCAAATTTCTTCTTCACGTTCGTCAGGATCACCTTGTTGTGCAACTTTGGCAGGTAAAACAACGATAAATATAATTAGAACAGAAATGGAAATAAAAGAGGGAGAACACATGTTGCTGCTAAGCAGAGTTTTAGAGTTTACGGAACAGACCTAAGTTTACAATAAAATGCCTAATTTAGGTGTAAGAAATTTTTGAATAGAACCTTTCAATTGCGCCCCAATAATATTGAACTCACACAACCCTCTCACAATGCATCTTTAACCTCCATTGTGTCGTATCTTCCCATTCTGCTCCATTGAATTTCATATCTAATTGCCGGTTCTTCCTTGTTTTTCTCGAAAATACCTTCTACGTGACTTTAGGCTCCGTTGCCAGCATCGTTTGCACATCAATGATATACAATCTGAGGAAAAAAACAGAAAAATCATATTTCTTGCTGTGAGAACTGAAGGCCAAAAGGGTTCGTTGATGGTAAATTGCATGATATTGCCTTTAACAAATATAGAATCAAAGCTAATTGTAATTTGGTGTCCAACACTATTTGACATTTGCATTTGATGGTTTGGCCCGGTAATTATTTGAGAACGTTATTGCTATGCTGGTCGGCAGAGCGAGTTGTCACGAAGTTTATAAAAATTCAACTTACGAGCAGAAGGATGAACATGGTCAATGCGACAACGATTGATATGCACATTGACACTTTCTCGCCGGAATACGATGGTAAGTAGAAGACAGCAATTGTTAAGCATGATATGCCAACACAAGGAAACACCAAATTCACAGTATAGAACAATGGTTTACGTCGAAGATTCAAGTAATACTAAAAACAAAAATTTTTTCCGTTATATACCTTGTTTGTCTAACACACCGTAACATCCACATATGGATTATCGTTACAGCAGCTTGGGTAATTTTTGGATCGACGAATGCCGATCCTGGACATTATATCCCATTCTACAGAAGGATAATAATCGGACAGATCTGAAACTGCTTGATTCATCATGTAAGGAAAGATGGGGCTTAGTTAATGAAAAGCGAACCTATTCCATCGTCTGCTATTGTGATATTATCAACGATGCCCTGTTCATTAACCTCTTCTTCGTAGCGCACATTATCGTTGAGCAATTCCAAATTGATCAGATCTTCTGAGTATGTCCAAGAGCCAAACTAAATATAAGAAACGACTTTGAACTTATCAAAAAGGAGCGCTAGGATGGATTAAATAACATAGTTTTCTATAATATCTACATTGGTATCTTGTTCCTCTAATTTTGCTTTTACGCTCAAACATTATCTTATAAAGGTTGTCATATTGGTGTGTGTGACTTGCTTTCTTATTCAGACACAAATGCTTTCATGAATCTTTTGTCTGACCCATGTCCATTGCTCTTACCTTTAGATAGCATTGCTGCTCGTCAAAAGGGAACCTGGAAGTGCCACATTTATTGTAATAGTAGTGCCCTATATACCCACCATCTAACGTCAATCTGACACAAGCTTTTGAAGATCGCAGGAGGTTCCCACGTGACTTGACCAGAATGATGCAACGTTGCCTTCGTGGATATAGTGATATTGTAGTAACTGTCAGCGCTGCAATGATTCAAAAGATTATTTCAAACATTTAGCTGGATGAAGACTAAACCCACTTATTGTAAAGAACAATATCGGGCACCCAAATCATCTCATAAGGAATGTAAAGGACGCTGACACCACCATAATTTTTCGGATCCCATGCCAGTCTTCTGTCCATCCACACTTGTTTTAGCCATACCGAGCATGTCATGATTTGATTGATTTCGTGCTAATAGGGTTTCCAGTCTTGTCACGTTCAGTACTTTCACAGGTTTTTTTATTTTTTATTAATCGGGCAACGAAAAAGTTATGGAAGGCGTGCGCATCGGCGGTTATCCAGACCTTGTGAGATTAGTGCAGAGTGATACAGAAAGCTAGGATTTACCATGCGCCATTTGTACGAGACCTAGCCTTCTCTTATGTAAGCAATTGATAAATTGGACATCAACTTTCTTACAAATTAAAACTACAAATAAAGAAAACCAGAAACTTCCTTTTGTTCGCCTTCTTCGGAACTTATCTATAAGAAAGGAAGGCTGAAAATGATTTGAAAACTCACTTGATTTAGTTTTCCCTTTCTACAGTCTGAGATCATGGAAAGGGAATGCAATCATTCGAATGAGGTGGTCTAATGATAGTTATTTGAAGGGAAGATTTTATGCACCCAACCTTGCTGATTATGCACTTTTGAATAACTTTCGTATGATTCCTATGAGCGGGCAGCTAATGAAAATGAATTATGAAAACCTCATATTGATGGTTACGTAATAATTCCAGCACTATGGGGCCCTTCCTTGGAGAGGGCTTGCGACAAGCCGACAGAGCAACCCCCTTTGCATCAAATTAGTTAATGACTATTAATGGTATTTCGCGTAGAAGCTAAGGCGTTTTCCGGAAGCGACGCGCACACGAGCTCGACGGGTGAGAAGGCAAGGGCCGCCGGACGGATGATAAAGCTAACTCGGCCAAAGTAACTATCCAAGAACTTAAAAAATTCGATTACCCACAATAAATATGATGACCATTGGACGACATTGCATGTTGGCAGATCGAAAAGACGACGAGTGGATATGCCTACTTACAGGCAACGAATGGAAATACGGGAAGTCCATTGGAATGGATATAAACTGCTGCACAATGGTCAAGCAGCATTAAAAATGGTGTTAGTACAATGTCTTTGAAGTTCTGAGAAGCCAATAACAGGAGTTGAAAAATGAGCGACTCATGAGCGAAGATCGTGCTGGGAAAAGGATCCTTCGGGTTGTTACTGTCTACGCACCGCAACTTAAATAGGAAGAAGAGGGTCTCTTCTAGCAGGGGTTCGATGATTTATCCGATCGGTACCACAAAACGAAATAGTCCTGCTTGAAGGAGACCTTAACGTTGGAGAAGAACGAAATGGTGCAGGAAATCATCATGGGACTACGGATATGGAACGCAATAAAGAGGCGAACGTAACGAGTTTGCTACGGCTTACGACCTAGTGTGAACAATTACTACATTAAAAAGAATAATCTCTCATAACTTATTCAAAAGAGAACTAAAGACACATAGGGGAGGTAAAGTATAACGAGCTCAATGTGAGAGACTGCAAAGTTTTTCCAGGTGAAAGTTGCATACAAGCCTCTGCTTCTATTTCAAAGTACCAATTGAGAATCGAAGAAAAGAATCATTACAAACATAGAGCAATGGCATGAATCGAAATCGGAAGAACATTGCCAGAATACTTGCAGCGTAGCATAAAGTCAAAGCTTATTTGAAAAGCTAAACAAGTTTACATAGGAGAGTACAAGAAGTTGGAAACCCGAAAAGGAGGGCGATAAGTGTATCAAATTGGGTGAAGGAGAGAAATTTCGCGAAATATATGGAGCACTTCTAGCAATTAGAGGCAGGCTTGGAAAACTGTGAGAAGACAACACCGCAGAACATAGTGGAAAGATGGCGGATACATATCGAAGAGATAGCGTCCACAGAGCCCAGTGTTAGCAAAATCACGCGGTGTCCTGTATAAGGATCATGCCATTCATCATAGGAGAGGAAGTTTGGATTGCAATCATTACTTATAATAAAGCGCTTATTTGTCTGTCTGTATGTATGTGTGAGCAATTTTGTTGAAACAAACAAAAAACAAAACATGAGCAATTTTGTTGCAACGTGGTAAGTTGGTTGTTCATTTTGTTTTGCTGTGCACGAGCTCTACGGTCGGGATAAATGGCTTGCCGTCCCTTCAAGAAAGCATTGAGAGGTAAGATCAAACATTCAACAGTTTCGTAGAAAGTGGTATCTGATGGTTTCAAATTGAAATAAG